GAGTCGCGGCGAAGAGGCTGGGGGCACGCGGCGCCTACCTGCTATTCCGGGCGTGCTGGGCTGGACACCATAAGGGAAGTGAGGCAGGCTGTAGGGAGGGGAGGGCCCGACAGGCTTGGGATCTCGGCGCTGCACACACCCTCCTCCTCCTCCTCCTCCTCCTCCTCCCCGAAGCGGCCGGACGGGTTCGGGGCGTGCTTCCTTCTCTCGCTGGCTCTGTGCGGGCCGTTTGCCTTTTGTTCGTTTCAGAGCTTTCTCTTCTTGGCAGCGCAAATCAACGACGCGCGTTTGCTGCCTTCCAGGCTCAGGAAACAGACGCAGGCGCCATAGGCGGCCAGAATCCCTCAGATATAATAGTAGTAGTAGTAGTAGTAGTAATAATAATAATAGAATTGACTGGACCATAACTGGATGGAGCCAAATCGTACAGACAGATTAAAGGCATGATCGAGTAGGGAAGTTGGCATTTATTTGCATTTGCATTTATTTATTTTTGTATGGTTTTTATTGTTTGTATTTTTATTGTTGTTAGCAGCCATGTAAGATGGGTAGCCGTATAAATCTTATAAACAAACAAACAGTAAATGTTAAAAGTATGATTCAGGGTCGATTTGCTGGAAACATGAAATCACAGATAAAGCCATTGTAAATGACGTCAGAAGTTTTTACTGGATTTAAAACTCACACCGATGGACACTTAATATGTAGCACACCAGACATTACTGTGGTTGGACAAGACCATGTTGGGTTTATTGGGGATGATTTGTTTCAAGAGACAGTAACATTGAAAACAAGGAATTGGACAGGTTACAAAATACCGAGATTTGCAATTAGGGTTGGCTCCAAGTCTGAACAGATTTGGGGCAAACTATCCTCTGGTTGACCCTCTCCTTGCTCAAATGGCTGTGCCTGACAAAAATATTTGCATGAAGTGGCACTGCTTCAAAGAGGTGGGGGTTCGGCCTACACATTTTAGATCTCCCACAGTTCCTCTCAACCGCAACTCTAGATTGGGAGCAGTGCAGAGAATGTAAACCGATTGATGTTGCTGAAAGAGCCGGACCAGTTTAAAAAAAAAAAGAAAGTGACATTTAGCTGTGCATCAGGACCTGTGAGTTGTCTAAAAGGGCAAAGATTGATACTATTCTCACAGCATTTTTTTCAGCCTAATGCGATAATCCATGATATGGCAGTGAAACAGATTACAGTCCTTTGCCCTGGCTTCCCCTGCTGTAAAATGTTTATTTTCTGCTGCAGTGATCAGAAATGGAGAGCTGAGAGTGTCATTTTAGTTTTCCACAGTGCTCCAGGGGCATCATCAACATGGAGCACTTTGGGAAATAGAAGAACTATTTCCCAAAGTGGTCCATGTTGGAACAAAGAACGAAGAACAAAGGCACCAGAGAGCGGCAGGGAACCTACAATGCAATTTCCTTTTAAAAGTATCCTTCAAATGCCATATTCCACTCGCCTCACCAGGGCTCTGGTACTGGTGACCATGGACGTTATGAGCCAGTGTTCTTTCTGACTTTTCCTTGGGTGGCTTCAGAAATACTATTTCAGCAATACTCTCACTGTCTAGAATATATAACATTTTTTATCTAAGCTCCCATCTTCAGAATGTTTATTTCCAACCCCGCAGAATTCAGTTAAAACCATCAAAATCATAGATATTTAGTACAAGCCACAGTGGCATCATGTACACCATGACACCATCACTCAAATGATGCAAATTATGTAATCTGCATAATTTGTGCCTTGACAATATGATGCACTGGGCATCACTTGCCCTCCGTGTAGGCACCTATGCCTTTTTTCAAGGTACCCGTGCTTTGACCAAACAGGTTTCTATCTGTCCTTGTGAGTGCAATGCATCTTGTGGCAGCAGACCATCATCTAGATAACTTCAAAATCCCAGAAACTGAATTTCTCTGTTGACACCATCTGTATAGCTAGTCATGGTCTTGCGGTATTTGTCTTTTCTTCCTGGTCCTCTTCCATGGACTGGGGAGAACACTATCTGAGCTCCCAGGATCTTGCACTTCCTTCTGATTGTGGTATCATTTCCCTCCACATGTATTAGCAGGAAGGACGAACTGTCAGTGGAGCTGATAAGTCTTGGAAATTATTTTGTCACATCCCTGATCCTTGCTCCTGGCAGATAGCACACTTCATGAACTGATGGGTCAGCATACATTTTTTTCCTTCTGATTCCTCTGTAGTGGCATTAAAGAAGAAAAATAGTGATGCTTTGTGTACCTCTTTCTCCCTCCACACACACAGACTTTGGTTCTATAAACTTTCCTTTCTTTTTATACTTTGGGGAATACCATTTCTGTCTAAGGACAGGGTGAGACTGGTACTTAAATAACCTAGGGCAGTGTTTTGGAAATGACTGCTATATAGTTGTCTATATCTTTACCGGCTTTTATGTTTTTACTCTGATTTTATCTTGTAAACTGCCAGGAGTCATTTTTGTTGAATCCATCAATATGTAAACATAAAAAAAAATAATATCAGGATTAGAATAAAGGTAAATATGCCTCTGAATCACCCACCGAAAATGAACCTCAACACAGACTAATGTCCTGAGAAGATGCAATGCATGTGTTGGTGCCAGGGGTCCATCACCACCATAGCTGGGAGTTCTTAGCCAGCAGAAGAGACGTGCAATTCTGTGTTGCACTTGTACCACAAGGCTTAATTTTTACATATTCAGTACATCATTCTAGCACTTGCCCTAGTTGTCTGTTCATTGCCTTTGAATGTTAAACAAAAAATACTGGAACCTGTTCCTACTTTAGCAATACATCCTCACTATACTGGAGTCACCCCTACTTATACCGAAGTACAATGAGATCAGAGTGGTTATCCACATTTTGCTCTTTTTGAGACCATGACTTTTAAAAAATGAGAAACAGATTTCATTCCACTGAAGAGAAAAAACCCAGGAAGGGTATTATTTAGAATTGTCTTAGATGCAAGAACTGGTATGTCAAGGAGAACTGGGTACTTGCCAGAAGACGGCCTGTTGCTTTTGCATTTAATCTTGGCCTCTTCCCCTTCTTTGAACATTGCTTGCAAATCATTAATTGGGCAGTAGATGGCAGTCCAAGAAAAATTACCACCAGGTAAATTCTAGCAATTTTCTGTTAAGATTTAACATTTCTGCTTCAGCTGGGGAAAAAGAAATAGTTACGTCATTGCCATGTTAGCAACTTTTGAGCCATTTGACAACCTCCAGTGTTCCAGTGAAGATGGGATTATTATCATTCTCTGAGTTTAATGATTAAATGCAATGATTTTGAATATCTAAGTGATTGCTAGTCTCCCCAGTTACTTCTTTTACTCACTTTTCTCCTGCAAGATGAAATGGGGAAAATATTCCCTTTCCTCTTCTGATCCTTGAAGAGCCTGCCACTGCCTCATCTGATGGGTGCCATGGTTTGGGAAGGCTGGTTTAATATACTGAGCCAACCTAGCCAACTGGACTACAATGTTTAACAATGGTTCGATTGACTGTGGGTTAGAGTATTTACAAAAACAGTGTCTGAGCAAGTTTTTGAACGTCGGTTTACATTTTGTTTCACTCTGTTAAAGTAAGCATTACTTAAGCATATGTCTTCACTCTTACTGGCTAAAATTGGAGAGTGCTCAGCATTACAGTCCCCTCCAGATTAACATGACATGCAAATACTTGGGGAGGTTTTACTTAGACTGATACATTCTTGATTATCGGATGAGGAATAGGAGGGATTCAAAAGAATTTGCGCTCCACTGATGCAAGGTTGCCAAATAGCGCTGGAGATTCTGACAATACAGTTGTGCAATACTTTGGGGTGCAGCAGGATGTTAATGTAGTACCCATATAATTGTGCTCAGTCATACCCTGATGTGGCACCCACATAATTGTGCTCAATCATACTCTGAAGCACGTTTGGAATTGAATTCTAAGTGCTGCAACAGCTCTACTTGACCACGTATTCCTACATGTGTCTACCATCAAATGAATCAAATCTTGCAATCTACTTGTGTGCGAATAAGCTTCATTGAGCTCAACAAAGTTGAGTAAATGTTTCTGAGTAAATGTACTTGGATTTGTGTGATTGTTTGTTTTGACCTATGCAGTTTATAATGCACTTTCCCAAGCCTATACAGCAGTGTTTCTCAGCCTTGGCAACTCTAAGATGTGTGGACTTCAACTCCCAGAACTCCCCAGCCAGCATGTTAAAGTCCACACGCCTTAGAGTTGCCAAGGCTGAGAAACATTGCTATACAGGGATAAGCTTGAAGAGGATAATTTGGGGGGAAGGGAGAAAACAAGATAAATGTATAATATGTAAAATCATGTGCTAAAATAAAACTTCTTATATGATTAAATTAGTGGGAGGTTTTCCTCATTGGTTTTGGCTGTGACTGACATATTTCAACATTATTTGGCTGCTTTGCTTGCATCTAGCAAGCACTGATTTCATTACAAATTATACCTCATCAGTTCAGTCAATCCTCCCCAACTCAGTATGTTGAGACTAGCTCCCAGAATGCCCAGGCCATAGAAAGGTTGATGGTACGTTCTAAAGAAAGGTAAATGCTGATACGGCTACAAGATGACGTGGTCAGGGACCCAAGAAAGCCCTCTCTGCTTAGCTCAGGGGCCATCCAATCCGGCATCAGGGCATCCAGAAGTATCAAGCGTTAAGGCACCACCCCAGGGCTGCCATCTCTGAGCTGCAACACTGTGTGGCCGCGAGGTGGCAGCACAGACACACAGAAACCTCTAGCCCCTTGCTGGCATCTGGTGGTCCTCCGGAATTTTATAGGCCAGATAGGCAGCTCTAAACACTTCTCCCCTCGTGGCCTTCCTCTGCCGGCACCGGCTACGAATTCAGCAATTCATTGCCACTGAAGGAGGAGCTTTGACTCTACGGTACTCGTTCCATCCTCCACGACCCGCTTCTAGGCTCAGAGCGGGCCGGTGCGATTCGACTCCAGGCGAAAGGGACGCCTGTAGCTTTCCACGGAGGAAGGGGGCCCGAACTGTAAGGGCACCTTTCCATTCGCTACTGAGCTGAAGAGACTACATCTCCCATCAGGCTCCGGGGAAAGGCTGCCCTTCGCGTGCATCACCTTCGCCCCTCCCTCTGGCCGGGAAGCCTTAGCCCAGGGCTTGCCCGAGCATGTAGCTTTCAGTTTCCCAGCAGCCGCAGCCGCAGCCGGAGCCGGGCTGTTCAAGCGCTGGTGCTGCTGCGCTAGGAGAGTCCCCGCGAGGTGAGATAAGGCGCCCAGCGGTCGCGCCCCTCCTGCCCGTTTCCAGCCTCTAAGCCGGGGAGATATTTTCTCTTCCTCAGGAGAAAAGAAAAACGGGCTTCCCCTTTTAATTGTGCCCCTTTCCGTGTGTTTGAGAAGCGAATGAACGAAATGCGGCAGCGTCATTTCGTGGGACCCCGGAGGCGCCGACCCAGGCGATCGCGCACCTTCCCCGGCTGTTGGAAGAGGCGAGCCGCGCCAGTCTGTGGGGGTCAACATCGGGAGGAGTCGCGGGTGGCACCTTTTCCGACTAGCACATGGCATTAAAAGGCATCAGCTTTGGCGAGCTGCAGCTCCCTTCATCGGATGGATAGAGTGGCGAGGCTGCTGTGGGATTTAAACCGAGGGGAAGGGAGGGGAAGACGGTGGTTATGCAGACGCAGGTTATATGCGAGAGAGGTTGCAACTGTCTTACCAGTTAACAGCTGTCCTGTGTCACAAACCCATTGGGTTAGTTGAGACCTTCTGAGATTGCCTGAAACCTTTTGACGTGAGTCCAACCATTTCTCACTTGATGGTGCTGTTAAAGTCCCGCCTTTCTAAAACAGCCACTTGGAGGGTCCCGGGAGGTTGAAATGCTTTGATATTACATTGTTTCGGTTCTGACCCTTGATGTCCAACTTGCGTCCACTCATTCTTTCGCACAAAGTTTGTCCCGTTTGTCCTATGTGAGAACCCAGAGGGGCATTGCTGGCAGATGTCACACCGGAGGAATTCACTTTCCTTCCCCGGCTGGTAACTTCTGGGGGCTCTGAAAAAAGATTCCCATTATCCCCAGCCAGCCACAGCATTGAGTTTGTTGGCTGTGGGACGATGGGAGCTGTAGTCGCCCATTTGATCACAATTGGCATCATGATTTCCCATCATGGGAAACACACAAAAACTATGATGTAAAGCTTGAAAAAAACCAGAGCGCTTTTGAGATCTCACCTCAGCTTTAGGAAACGGAAAGTAGGGCAGCACCATCCAGTGCAGTTTCCTTCTGTGAAAGTTTCTTCTACAAATAGAGGTGACTTGGTCCTACTACCCACTGGTGTGCGGAGCCTTGGAAATAAAATGCCCTGGAAAAATTGATCAGAACTGCAAAATAAGCTACAGTATAACTCTTGTGCCAGGCAGAGCCTGATGAAAAGTTCCTCATGAAGGAACAAGGCTCAGTTGCTTCACAGAATGCAGAGGAAGACGTGTGTTTATGTGGTTATGTATGCAGTTTGAAGAACAACAACAAGCTCCAGTCCAGAGTAGACATTTGTGTGGTATAGTGATTGATGTACTAGATTTGTGGTTACGGTGCTGAACCCAGGTTTGAGACCAGCTTCAGCCATGGAAGCTTCCTGGGTGATCTGTGGCCAGTCCAACCTACCTCACAGGGTTGTTATTGTGGGGGAAAGTTGGCAGAGGGGCTGCTGTGTGTCTACCACTGTGAGCTCCTGGAGCAGTGTGGTCCAAACTTGGCCACTTTAAGATGAGTGGACCATGCTGGCTGGGGAATTCTGGGAGTTGA